CATCCCCAGCCGAGGCGTTCGTTGGCTTCCAGACGTTCAGCGTCAAACAATCTGTTGTCGAAATAGTTCAATTGTTAGTTCAATCGCAAGAATGCCAGGTGATCCATCAGAACCGACCTTCGCTCCCGATTCCGACGACGGCTGGGTACTGGATGCAAGCTGGGCCCCAGTCTCGGGCGTCCAGGACTTGTGATGTGGTGGTCTCCTCATTCAGTTGTACGGGCGCCCTGAATCTCAAATTCCCCAAGGGTGGCTCAGCGTAACGTATGTTGCCGTAGAATGCGACAGGCCCGTTCGCGATACCTGCCGGTGAGGTAGTGTTGCCGGCATATGCGGCATACCCCAGATCCACAACGGGCCCGAGGTTCGAAGTCAACTGCCGTCCTAAAGCAAGGTTGGCGATGAGTGTGACATGAAGAAGGCGGCGGAGCATTTTGATAGCAGCGCAATAGTGGGCACCGGGCGGACAAGCTACGTCGATGAGGCCTTTTATGCAGAAACCCAAACTTCGATGGAGTTCGAAGGATTCGAAGGTGATCACAAGGTGGTTGTGCGGCCCGAGGCTGGAAAGTCGCGGACCGACGCTTTGTGTTATGCAAGATCGGTGTTGCGACACGGCCGGAAGGCAACGATGGGGGCGAGCCTTCAACTCAACTGGTATTATGAAAAAGCCTGTGATACGTCGATCGACGTTACGCCCAACGCAGGTCAGTTCTTCGATATCAACGCGTCATCATAAACATAAGCTCAACTCGAGGTAGCGGGCGATACTCACCTTATGCAGGAGGTGTCTACTCTCCATATCCACCTAAATATTACTGTTGAATTGTCTGGAGCGGAGGTTAGTTACGACGGGGAACACGAGACGTTCGCATACATGCTCACAGGTAATGTTCTTTTCATTCACGAGAATCTGGTCCACACCCATGAGCGCCGACTTGATCACGAACGGTTCACCTCGCGGCCCAGCTACAGCAAGCTCCGAGTCTGACCAGTCGGTCGGCTTAAAATATTCAGATTCCATGTCCGCCAAGTCGCAACGCTTGGTTCCGTATGTCGCAGAGCAGCGACGAGCAACCTAGGTTCAGAAATACAAGCGATGGATATGACTTGTTGTCGAAGAACGTTTGAGCACTGCCAGTAGGGAATGCCATAGGCCATCACGATGAGGTGGCAAGCGAATAGGTACGGCAATCACCGCATCGTCTCTCGGCAGACATCCGAACTCCGGTACGGCGGTACCCGCCGAATAACGAAGATTGTGGCATTCTCATTCAGACGACTCGATTGCTGAACCTTTTTGAAGATCACTTTTACCCAGGATTCCGGCGTCACTTCGAAATCAGCCATGATAGTCACGGCCCTGCGCGTGGCACACATGCCTTTAAAGTTTAGTCTGTCCTCATGAAGTTCTTCAATGAAAGTTATGGAACCTGCTCACGCCAGGGTCCTCATATTCATCATACAATATTCGCCGCCAGTCGCCTGATACTCTCACCATCTAATTTCGGTAAGATATAAACGATTACTGACTGAATAAAAGAGTCTGACATGACCGGATGCATGAGCGCAGTGGCAATAACAGCATTGGCTCACTGCTACAGAAATATGGGCGTTCTCCCAAGACAAACCGTGTCAGTGGGCCTGACCGACATAAATCTCTTCCCAATTGTAGCCATAGGGCCCCCGCGAACAATTGAGGTAAATTCGGTAGCTTGTGTTACAGATCAGCTCACATCGTCTCCAGCAGAATTTGCTCCGGTGTTTGGTAGAATATCCGTCGCCGTGCGAGCCGTCCTTGCAAAATCATCAGCAATGGAGTTTAGAGATAAGAAAGAAGCTCACGTGCAGAAAAAAGTCGAAGTAAGGCCCGGGTTCGAGTTGAACGAGCGCATCGCACTTGATCTTGAGTGACATCCTGTAATTCGATATAGATACGGACTCGGAAGCCGCCCCCACCGGGCCTTCCTCCGTTCCTTTCTAAACTGTACAGCTGTTTGGGTTGGATATCAATTGATTAAACGAAGCGCAGAGATGACTCTCCGATATGGGTCTAACGAACATACGTCTCCGCTGGCGCTGGCGTCTTGGCGAATTATAGAATCAAATCTTCTAAGATGGGCTCACCTGAAGGGAAAAATGATCCCAAATTCTCGCAAGACCCGGGTCCGAGCGAGCGCTTCTTACTCAAGATTGGCAGCCATCTCGTACATTATTCGATGTGGGTGAGGCCTTGCTCTCTCACTCTTGAACCTAATCAAACTAAATCAATCGCAGCAGTGACATCATTATACATTCGGTGCAGAGGGCGTACAACTAGACGCGCAACCTCCGTGGCCGTGCGAGTCGCTCTGCGAGATCATGAGCAATCGAGTTTGAGGGTCCCGAAGTAAACAGCCAACAAGATAAATTTTGAAGGGCCAGGGCTCGAGCCGAACGAGCGGTTCTACTTGACCTTGAGTCATATCCTGTATTCGAAGTAGGTGCGGGAAAAACCACCTGGCCTTCCTGGCTCTCCTTTCGAACGTACTTAAGTCAGATTGAACAACATTCCGCATTGAAGAAACATCCACGGCAGAGGATATTTTACCACTCTATCGTCACAAAATGAGTTGTACTACTTACGATACAGAATGGTAACTTGTGAACAAAAAGTTTTTCAACTGGACTGCAAATGGCCCGTGCTCGATTCGAACGAGCATATCCTGCTCAAATAGTGCAAGGTGCTGTGATTGTTTTCAGGTGCGGACCATCCGCCACCAGGCCATGCCAAGTTCCTCTACGAAGCTAACTTAATCTAGGAATTCTCTAACTAGTGGCAGGCTGAGGATAAATGAATTTTATTGCTCCCAATATGATATTCGAATCCTCACCAGAAGGGATCTTCGTCATTGGCGCGCGCGATTACATCAGACGCAGACTCACCTACAGCTGCGACAAGGCCTGGGCTATTGACGAAACTTGACGTGAACGTTCTGCCATCCGCACGCGCCGTATGCACTACTACTATGCAGCCACAACATGAATAGATGTGTCGAGATGGATGGATAGAGGGTTTTATTGCTGCGATAGTCTTGTCAGCTCGGAGCGACTTATCAGTGGAGACAGAAACAAACAGAAAGGGAAAAAACTCAAGACCAAGTACAAAGTGGCCCCGGCTCGAATCGAACGAGCATGTCCTGCTCGCGAAAACAGTCGAAGATTTTCACAGGTTGCAGGCGCGGACCATCCGCCACCGTGCCTTACATACAATGGGAGGTTACTTGAAATAACTTGGAATTGGGGCTCAGGAAACTTGTGGGCAAAATTAATTTTATTGCTATGATGGTACCCTCAGCTCCAAGCGACTTACAAGTCCTAATATGTGTCAGTGGCCGGGCTGCAGCTGCGGACCTTGTGTAATAGACGGGAGAAGAATAGGACGGGAATCATAGTCCTGGTCAGTGGAAGCAGAAACAGGAAAAAAGAAAGGCAAAAAAACTCAAAGATGCATACAAAGTAGCCCGGGCTCAATTCGAACGAGCGTACCCTACCGGGTTCACATACGATCACCCCTCACTGGTTGTATGTGCAGACCACCCACCACCGGGCCTCAGATACACATGCGAGGTTACTTGAAATACCTTCGAATTTGGGCTCAGAGATTCTCATGGCAGAATGTATTTTATTGCTGCGATAGTCTCCTCAGCTCCAAGCGACTTGTCAGTGGAAACAGAAACAAAGAAAGGGAAAAAATTCAACACCAATTACACAGTGGCCCGGGCTCGATTCGAACGAGCACATCCTGCTTACCAAAGGCATGTAGAGAGTGTTCACAGTTTGCAGGTGCGGACCAACCGCCACCGGGCCTCGGAGATACATGTATCTATCTACATCTAATGTAAGGTTAGTTGAGATACTGAGTAACACGGTCTCACCTACAGCTTGGAATGTTACAGCAAACACTGTGCCGTTGTGGCGGAAAAAAATCAAGTACTAAAATGTGTGGATGGTCTGCAGCTGCGGAATTTGTGGAATTTGCGTAGCGTAATTTATGAGAACAGTTGCATAGAACGGGAATCCTAGTCCTGGTCAGTAGAACCAGAACCAGAAAAAAGAAAGAAAAAAAAAGCGTAGATCACTTACGAAGTGGCCCGGGCCCGATTCGAACGAGCATGCCCTGCGGGTACACATAACAACTTCTTTCACTGGTTGCAGGTGCGGACCAACTGCCACCGGGCCTCGGCCCTCGGATACATGTATATATCTACATCTAATGTGAGGTCAGTCAAAATACTGAGTAACACAGGCTCACCTATAGCTGCGAATGTTACAGAAAATGCTGTGCCGTTGATGTGGGGGGAAAAAAGTACTAAAATGTGTGGATGGCCAGGCTGCAGGTGCGGACTTTGCGGAATTGGTGAAAGAAGAATAGATCTGATGGGAATCAATCCAAGTTCTGATTAGTGTAAACAGGCACAGAAACAGAAAGAAAGAAAAAAACTCAATGTCACAAAGTGGCCCAGGTTCGATTCGAACGAGCGTACCCTGCATGAAATAGGACTAGGCCATCTTAAGCTCTGAGTGAAATCACCGCAAATGGAACACCCTGCGGGGTACGTGGAACAACATCCCTCACTGATTGCAGGTGCGGACCATCCGCCTCCGGGCCTCGTATACACATGCGAGGTTAGTTCAAATACCTTCGAATTTGGGCTCAGGAATTCTCATGGCAGAATGTATTTTATTGCTGTCATAGTCTCCTCAGCTTCGAGCGACTTACATATGTGTTTGCAGACTGATCGACACAGACACATACAGCACGAATGTTACACCCAACGCTGTGCCGTTGATGTGGAAAAAATTCAAGGACTAAAATGTGTGGATAGCCGGACTGCAGTTGCGGACTTTGCGTAGCGTAATTGATAGAATAATTACATAGAACGGGAATCCTAGTCCTGGTTAGTAGAACCAGAACCAGAAAAAGGGAAAGCAATAAAAAAAGAGAGTTGCCCACGAAGTGGCCCGGGCTCGATTCGAACGAGCATATCCTGCTTATATACGAACTGGAGAAAAATGTGCACAGTTTGCAGGTGCGGACCATCCACCACCGGGCCTCCCCCTCACACCCGGGAACTCAGTGAAATTAAAATCGTTCTCACATCAGCATTGTTTTGGTCCAAAAAAGCCTACCTGGGGGCAATGAAGTGAGGTTCGAATCGGACATCACATAGTTTTCAACTTACTAGCTTGATTTATTCTTCGCGCATCGGGGAGGAATCGAGAGGCTGCGTCTTGGTGGACTTTGTACGTAAGACCTTGACGGAACGAGACCCTGGTGGGCGCGAACAGATTTCTCAGGAAGAAAGAAAAAGAAAAAAGAATGTGGGCTACCCGAGGATGGCCCGGCTCGAGTCGAACGAGCGTGTCCTGGGCCTGCAGCTGCTTACCACGTGTGGTTCGAGGGTTGGCAAATGAGCATCCGCGACCGGGCCTTATGTACTTACCGTTGAATTCATTGCTGTGAAGGTGAGTTACGAGGATGCAGGTAAGTAAGTATGGGAATTATTTTCATCCTCCGTGTATACATAGACACTCGCCGCAGCAACTCTGACTTGGAAGAAAGTTGAGATGGGGTACAGAAGTTCCGGTCAGTGGAAGCTTCAGAACCAGAGAAAGGAAAGCAAAAACAAAAACAAAACGGAAACAGCTCATGAAGTGGCCCGGGCTCGATTCGAACGAGCATACCCTGCCGAAGTCATCAAACAACTCTCACTGCTTGCAGGTATGGACCATCCACCACCGGGCCATACTAAGTTCCTCTAGGAAGCTAAATTAATCTAGGAATTTTCTCACTAGTAGCAGGCTGAGGATAAAAATGGATTCTATTGCTACCAGTGTAATATTATTCTCCTCACCAAAGGGATCTTCGTCATCCGCGTGCGAGATTACATGTGCAAACTCACCTAGCTACAGCTCCGACAAGGGCTGAGCCATTGATGGGAATGTTCTGCCCTCCACGCGGGCCGTATACCGCCATCACAATGACATGGCCGCCAGTGATCCACATGGATAGATGGTTCTATCGCTACGATACTACTACCCTCAGATCCAAGTGTCTTGTCAGTGGAAACTTAGAGAAACAGAAAGAAAGGGCAATAAGGGGCGAAAAAAGTCCCAACCACCATGGAACTTGTGGCCCGGGCTCGAATCGAACGAGCATGTCCTGCTCACAAAGACATTCGAAGATTTTCACAGGTTGCAGGTGCAGACCATCCACCACCGGGCCTTAGATACAGATGCATCTACATCTAATGCGAGGTTAGTCGAAATACTGATTAACACAGACTCACCTACAGCTTGGAATGTTACAGAAAACACCGCTGTGCCCTTGATGAGGAAAAACATTAAGTACTAAAATGTGTGGATGGCCGGGCTGCAGCTGTGGAATCTGCGGAATTGGTGAGAAGAATAAAACGGGATTCAATCCAAGTTCTGGTTAGTGAATACAGATAAACAGAAAAATGGAAAGCAATAAAAGAAAAAACAGAGTTACCCACAAAGTGGCCCGGGCTCGATTCGAACGAGCATACCCTGCCAACTCTTACGAAGTGCTACATAACTGGTTACAGGTGCAGACCATCCGCCACCGGGCCTCAGAATACATCGATGTGAGGTTAGATTAGGCCTAGGAATTATCTTGGCAGAATAAAATTTATTGGTGTGACATTCTCCTCAGCTCCGATATGCAGCTTCAGACTGATTGACACAGACTCACTTACAGCTGCAAATGTTACTGCAAACACTGAGCCACGTATGTGAAATTAAAGTACTAATATGTGTTGGGTGGCCGGACGGCAGCTGTGGACTTTGTGTAATTGGTGAGAGAAGAATAGAACAGGAATCAATCCAAGTTCTGACAGAACTTGGATTGATTCCTGTTCTAATTTCCAGGGGAGCTGATCAGATATGAGGACACCATCATGGTTAGTTCTGTTCAATGACATTTTTCTACATTCTGAACTTTCGACAGCTTCGCCGATTTAAATGTGCCCACATCTCATACCAGGCTCGAGGATTGGCGCGGTGCACAGGACATCATTAGATGCAACCCCAGCTTCCACCGGCGCCCGCGATACGACTGTCTGCTCATCAACTTCACAGATCCAGGCTTACACTGCGCCTGGGTCTGCTCTTTGTTACGATGCAACATGCCGAGCGGACGACAAATTGATGTCGCGCTAGTGCGTATGTTTGAATCCAGCCGCTGGAAACCCAGGACACGCTGGAGTGGTTGTGAAATCAGGGAAGAGGCGAAGGAATATTCTTTTCTTTCCATGGAGCATGTCATCCGCGGTGCCCTGCTCGCACCGGTATCGTCCGTGGCTGACGAGACTACTCACTTCCTAATCGATACCATTATCGACGCGGACATGTTTTTATGAGCAGATACGTAGATCAGTATTGGATAAAAGCTTGTTCGGTTCCAATAAAATTGACCAGGCCTGACATGCCCTGAGAGGGCTGACCGAGCCTGATAAGCTACTGTCAGTGCCTGATGACCTACGGCAGAGAACCTGATAGGGCCTGATAACTCGGTCAGGCCTTGATCAGGTAAATTGAGATTTTCCGACATGATCAGTGGAACCAGAACCAGAACCAGAAAAAAGGAAAGACAAAAAGTTCAAAGCCATTAACGAAGTGGCTGCCCTGCGGGCACACATAACAACTTCTTTCACTGGTTGCAGGTGCGGACCATCCACCACCGGGCCTTGGATACACACACATCCAGTGTGGGGTCATAGAAGGCCAGGAATTCTATGGGCAGCATAATTTTATTCCTCCAATAATGATATTCTCCTCACCAAAAGGGATCTTTTTTTTTTTTTTTTTTTTTTTTTTGGTGGTGCGTTTGTTGTGACCTCCGGCAACTGATAATTGATCAGCCCCTCGGGTCCGCAAAGAACGGAGGAACATGTGACCTCCTTAGGCTCCTAACCAACGGCGGGAATGCTTTTACGCACGAACGGCAAATGCCGAACAGTGTGGGACTCGACCAAGATTGGTAATACCCACTAGAACCCTCCTAAATGCGGCTTTACCGGGGTTCGAACCCTCGATCTCCGCGAGGCCCGGTGATCTCCGATTTACTCAGAGACCAAGGCTGCATGGTTACCCCTAAGCCATGCAGCCCTTCCAAAAGGGATCTTTGTCATCTGCACACATAGAGGTTAGATATTCAGACTGATTAACACAGGCTCACCTACAGCTGCGAATGTGATGAAAACAGTTACATAGAATAGGAATCCTACTGCTTGTCAGTGGAACCAGAACCAGAAAAAGAACCAGAAAAAGAAAGGGAAAAAACCACCACCGATTACGAAGTGGCCCGGGCTCGATTCGAACGAGCATGCCCTGCTTATATAACTAGCCGACACCAACGCGTACAGTTCGCAGGTGCGGACCATCTGCCACCGGGCCTCAGATACATGTACATCCAATGTGAGGTCTTCAAGTTAGAAGACCTAAGAATTCTCTTAACAGAATAAAATTTCCAGTTATTGCTGTGATAGTCTCCTCAGTATGGCATATATACTGTATAATAATTATAAAACTGCGCACCTGCAAAAAGATAATTGGAAATGACACTACTTCAGTCAAATGTAAGAAGAATGCACTGCTAAAAACTGTGGTGGTCAAAAAAAAAAGAGCACAATTAACAGTGGTGTGCTGTGAAACACAGAACTGATTTCGGAGTGGGATGTCACCAGTTCAATGTTGCATTCCGTCAGCCAAAAGTAAATTCCAGGGACTTTCGGAAGGTCTGATCATTGATGAGGAGTCGAATCGAGGACCAACTCATTCTTCGAACATGGAGGTCAACTTGGAGTCAACAGGAAAACCTCTGGTGCTTTCCGCTGCCCTGCCTGCCCTGCCTCTGGTGTTTCCGGGGAGCATCCAGGTCTTTGGTGGGCTGAAAAAGCAGAGCAATGACTTTTCCAGCTGACTGCACAGCAGATCCAGAGATAGGATAAGATATAATAGAGATAGTATACAGTTAAATTAGATTAGGTTTTCCTGAATGGATTTTTGGGTGGAGCAAAGCCATGGAGATGGAATACATCAGAGCACCAAGTCCTTCCCAGAGGTAGTATCCCAGATACTGGAACAGCTTTGATCCTGGAAGGCATGTACACATTGTGCCATGTGGTTGCCGAGTCTCGCCACCACTAGTACTTAACCTTCCAGGGACGACTGAGTCCGACCTGCACATTTTATGGATCCTGAACCCAAGTTGTGTCATTTTCTGACTTGTGCACAGGCTGTGGAATTTTTACTGCTTGGAGAAAGCTACATGAAATTCATAGGTCTTATCCATGTGTAGTTTTTTTCAGCCATTTTGACGTGTGGTGTGTTTTTTCTTTGTGTTTTATCCATAATTATTATACACTATATGGCCCATACCTCAGCTCCCAGCGACTTATCCGAGTCAGTGGAAGCAGAACCAGAAAAAAGGAAAGACAAAAAGTTCAAAGCCATTAATGAAGTGGCCCGGGCTCGAATCGAACGAGCATATCCTGCTTATATAAGAACCAGGACTCCCGGTACAGGTTGCAGGTGCGGACCATCCGCCACCGGGCCATACCAAGTTCCTCTAGGAAGCTAACTTAATCTAGGAATCCTCTCACTAGTATGTAGCAGGCCGAGGATAAAATGAATTTTATTCAAGTCGCCGCCAGTGTAATATTATTCTCCTCACCAAAAGGGATCTTCGTCATCCACGCGCATAGAGGCTAGATAATCAGACTCACCTACAGCTGCAAATGTCAGTGAGCCGCTGATGTGGATGTTCTGCCATCCGCGCAGGCCGTATGCCACCACAACAGAGAATAGATGTGTCCAGATGGATGCTTTTTTTATTGCTGTGATAGTCTACACGCAACTTGTCAGTCGAAACAGAAAGAAACAGAAAAAAAAAGAAAGGACAAAAATCGCTATCAATTACGAAGTGGCCCGGGCTCGATTCGAACGAGCGTATCCTGCTTATATAGATGATTCCACGATTTCCACAGTTTGCAGGTGCGGACCATCCGCCGCCGGGCCTCGGATGCAAGCACATGTACATCTATTGTGAGGTTAGTTGAAGTAACGGAATTTCGGCCTCGGAATTCTCTTGGCAGAATGGATTTGATAGCTGCAATATTCTGCTCAGCTCCGAGCGAGTCAGTGGAAACTTGAAGAAACAGAAAGAAAAATAGAATAAAGACGAAAGCAGCCTACACGAAGTGGCCCGGGCTCAAATCGAACGAGTGTGCCCTGCCAGGCCTACACAGCATCCCTCACTGGTTGCAGCGGACCACCCACCTCCGGGCCTTGGATACATACATCCAGTGCGGAGTTATAGTAGTTGGATTAGAATTAGACCGAGGGATTCTCTTGGCAGCGTAATTTAATATTATCATTCTCCTCACCATAGGAATCTTCGTCATCCATACACTGCATAGAGGTTATAACATATGCGGACACCTACAGCTGCGAATGTTACAGCAACTTGAAGTGCTGAGCCATCGTTGACGAATAGAACGGGAATCTAAGTTCTGATGAGTGGACACAGAAAGAAGGGAACAAATCCAAATCCATCGAAGTGGCCCGGGCTCGATTCGAACGAGCATGCCCTGCGGGTACACATAACAACTTCTCTCACTGGTTGCAGGTGCAGACCATCCACCACCGGGCCTCGGATACTATTAAATATATCTATCTACATCCAATGCGAGGTTAGTTGAAATATTGATTAACACAGACTCACCTACAGCTGCGAATGTTACAGTAAATGCCGCTGTACCGTTGATGTGAAAAAGAATTAAGTGCTAAAATGTGTGGATGGCCGGGCTGCAGGTGTAGATTTTATGTGATTGGTGAGAGAAGAATAGATCTAACATGAATCAATGATCAATGCAAGTTCTGGTTAGTGGAAACAGAAAGGTAAAAAAGAAATGAAGTCGCGAACGCAGTGGCCCGGGCTCGATTCGAACGAGCATATCCTGCTTACAAACACAGTGCAGGATTTTACAGCTTGCAGGTGCGGACCATCCGCCACCGGGCCTCACTACATATGCATCCAGTGCGGGGTCATAGAAAGCCAGGAAATTCTATTGTCAGCGTAATTTTATTCCTTTAGTGTAATGATATTCGAATCCTCACCGAAAGGGATCTTCCGAAGTCATCCGCGCACTGCATAGAGGTTATTACGTATGCAGGCTTGATGCAGACTCACCTACAGCTGCGAAACCGCTGAGCCGTTGGCAAGAACGTTTCCTTGTCCGCGTGGGCCGTATGCCACCACGACATGGCTGCCAGTCAATAGATGTGTCCAGATGGATGGATGGATTTATTGCTGTGACAGTGTTCTCAGCACCAAACGACTTGTCAGTCGAAACTTGAAGAAACAGCAAAAGAAAAAGAGGTGTTTGTGACAGAAGTGGCCCGGGCTCAATTCGAACGGGCATGCCCTGCGGGTACACATAACAACTTCTCTCACTGGGTGCAGGTGCGGACCAACCGCCACCGGGCCTCGGATACTATTAAATATATCTATCTACATCCAATGTGAGGTTAGTTGAAATTCTTAAGGCCCTCCGGGCATGTCCTGGTACCTCCTGGCAGAACTGGGTCGCTTAAAGAGCCAAACAACCCGAGGAAAACACGATAAATGTGTGTGCAACTGTTTTGTAGCAAAGAAGTCAGTAAGTCGGGTTTCTGATTTGCAACGTTCAAGCCATGCCCGGATGCCAAATTAAATGTGTTACATGTGAACAGGCTCAGAAGGCACCAGATTTCTGAGGTGAATGCAGTAACATACTTGACTGAGAGATCAGACATGTAGCTTGTTTGAATTTCACTCCATTATCACCCTGATCTCTCCCTAGTGGAATTTGAACTCTCAATTTGATAAATATGTGCACGACAAATGACTGTCCCCAGGATCTACACAAATTTCCTTAGTCATCTGGTTGGGCTTGACACCTCAGATAAATCTGTGGCTGTTGAAAAAATTAGGACAAGAGACTGGAACAAAAAAGGCAGCCCACCAGGCATGGTAGAAGAGTGAGATAGAGGCATTAAGATATAGGAGGAGGAATGGATCGCTGAATGATGAATCAGACAGGAAGGCCTAGAACCGGGAGTTACCGCTGCGATCGAGGTTGGAATTTTCGGGTTCACAAGGGCCCATCAAAGGCCTGGACCCGGAAGTTACCGCTACGATCGGGGTTTGCAATTGTGATACGTAGACCTGGTACCTAAGTCGGTACCAGGAATACTGAGTAACACAGGCTCACCTACAGCTGCGAAAGTTACAGTGAAATGCTGTTCCGGTGACATGGAAAAAATAAGTGCTAGTACGTGTGCATGGCTGGGCTGTAGGTGCGGACTTTGCGTAATTGACGTAAGAAGAATAGAACGCAAATCAGTTTTGGTCAGTGAAACTAGAACCAGAATGAAAAAAGAAAGACAAAAAAAATCCAAATCCATCGAAGTGGCCCGGGCTCGATTCGAACGAGCATGCCCTGCGGGTACACATAACAACTTCTCTCACTGGTTGCAGGTGCGGACCAACCGCCACCGGGCCTCGGATACATGTATCTATCTACATCTAATGTGAGGTCAGTTGAAATACTGAGTAACACAGGCTCACTTACGGCTGCGAATGTTACAGCAAATGCTGTGCCGTTGATGTGGGGGGGAAAAAAGTACTAAAATGTGTGGATGGCCAGGCTGCAGGTGCGGACTTTATGTAATTGGTGAGAGAAGAATAGAACGGGAGTCACTACTGTAAGTGGAAACAAAAAGAAAGAAAAATGAATAATGTTTGAAAGTGGCCCAAGCTCGATTCGAACGAGTGTGCCCTGCCGAATACACACAACGGCATCCCTCACTGGTCGCAGGTGCTGACCATCCGCTACCAGGCCTCAGACACATATGCATCTACATCTAATGTGATGTTGGTTGAAGAAAGCCTAGGAATTCTCTTAACAGAATAAAATTTCCAGTTATTGCTGTGATAGTCTCCTTGGCAGGTCCCAGCGACTTATCCGAGTCAGTGGAAACAGAACCAGAAAAAAGGAAAGACAAAAAGTTCAAAGCCATTAATGAAGTGGCCCGGGCTCGAATCGAACGAGCATATCCTGCTTATACAAGAACCAGGACTCCCGGTACAGGTTGCAGGTGCGGACCATCCGCCACCGGGCCATACCAAGTTCCTCTAGGAAGCTAACTTAATCTAGGAATCCTCTCACTAGTATGTAGCAGGCCGAGGATAAAATGAATTTATTTCAAGTCGCCGCCAGTGTAATATTATTCTTCTCACCGAAAGGGATCTTCGTCATCCGCGCGCATAGAGATACTACCCTCGGATCCGAGCGACCCGCCAGTCGAAACTTGAAGAAACAGACAAAAAGAAAGAAAGAAAAAGGGTGTTTGTGGCAGAAGTGGCCCGGGCTCGATTCGAACGAGCATATCCTGCTTACAAACGCAGTGCAGGATTTCACAGCTTGCAGGTGCGGACTCCGCCTCCGGGCCTCATATACACATGCACCGGCATCTAATATGAGGTTAGTTGAAGTAACGGAATTTGGGGTCGGGAACTTGTTGGCAAATTAATTTTATCACTGTGATAGTCTCCTCAGCTCCAAGCGACTTGTCAGTGGAAACAAAAACAAAAAGAAAGGGAAAAAACTCAAGATCAATCCCATAGTGGCCCGGGCTCGATTCGAACGAGCATGCTCTGCCGAGTACACACACAATGCTCATTGGTTGCAGGTGCGGACCATCCGCCACCGGGCCTCGGACACACATGCGAGGTTAGTTGGAATAACGTAGAATTTAGACCGAGGAATTCTCTTTGGAAGCATAAATTTTATCGCTGCCAGTGTAATGATATTCGAATCCTCACCAAAAGCGAGCTTCGTCATCCGCGTGCGAGATCACAAATGCAGACTGTAAGATTGACCTACAGCCACAAATGTTACTGAGCCATTGACGGGAACGTTCTATGATCCGCGCGTGCTGTATGCCACCACAACAGAGAATAGATGTGTCCAGATGGATGGATGGATTTATTGCTGTGAGAGTCCCCTCGGCTCCGAGCGACCCGCCAGTCGAAACTTGAAGAAACAGACAAAAAAAAGAAAGAAAAAGGGTGTTTGTGGCAGAAGTGGCCCAGGCTCGATTCGAACAAGCATGTTCTGCTCACAAAGACATTTGAAGATTTTCACAGGTTGCAGGTGCGGACCATCCGCCACCAGGCTCCGGACACACATGCAAGGTTACTTGGAATAACTTGGAATTTAGGCCTCGGAATTCTCTTGGCAGAATGGATTTGAAAGCTGCAATATTCTCCTCAGCTCCGAGCGACCCGCCAGTCGAAACTTGAAGAAACAGACAAAAAGAAAGAAAGAAAAAGGGTGTTTGTGGCAGAAGGGGCCCGGGCTCGATTCGAACGAGCATATCCTGCTTACAAACGCAGTGCAGGATTTCACAGTTTGCAGGTGCGGACCATCCGCCGCCGGGCCTCAACTACATACATCTATCTACATCCAATGCGAGGTTAGTTGAAATATACTGATTAACACAGACTCACCTACAGCTGCAAAAGTTACAGCAAACGCTGTGCCCTTGATGAGGAAAAAAATTAAGTACTAAAATGTGTGATGGCCGGGCTGCAGCTTCGGAATTGGTGAGAGAAGAATGGAACGGGAATCAATCCAAGTTCTGGTTAATGGAAACAGAAAGGAAAAAAAGAAATGAAGTCGCGAACGCAGTGGCCCGGGCTCGATTCGAACGAGCATGTCCTACGGGGTACACAGCAGCCTTGTTCACTGGGTGCAGGTGCGGACCATCCGCCACCGGGCCTTGGATGCATGTACATCCAGTGCGGGGTCATAGAAGGCCAGGAATTCTATTGTCAGCGTAATTTTATTCCTCTAGTCTAAGTGTAATGAAATTCGAATCCCCACTAAAAGCAGTCTTCGTCATCCGCACTGCATAGAGATTATTACATATTCAGACGCAGACTCACCTAGATACAGCTGCGCAAACGCTGCGCCGTTGACGTGGACGTCCTGCCGTCGGGTAAGCATCGATCAATAGACGTGTCTAGAATCTAGATGTACGCTGTAAGCTGTATTGTCATTGCTGCTGTAACGAATCCGGGCTTGTCGAAGAGTCTCGACGTACATGTATTTGGAACGCGCGAATACTAATACTCCGCATTAGCGATGTTGACGCGCGGTGGTGCATGTGCCGTTACGACGCATTTCGACGAAGAACTGCGGAATTTCCACCCCGAATCGTAATCATGAATATGTACATACCCCACGCCGCGATCCTGTGCGTTTACGCTGTACAGTCATACGCATACACCCTGTCAACAGTCAAGTTAGCGTTACGGTGAGATCGGTGCATGCATGCACTGCGCCACAATTATAAACTATGGGATACCGGCGGTGGATACGGGTTTCGAATCAGAACTTCCCGTGGAGGCGGCGTGGAAGCCTCGCGGCGGTGAGAACGGCTTGGGTGAGAGAAGTGAAGTAAAAGCGGTGGGTGAGAGCAAGAGAAGAAAGCAGTGCACGCATGGCCCGTGCACACGCCTCCGACATCCGACGGCTCATCGCCGATCGCGGGGCTTGCCGGCCTTTTAACGAATCCGGCCATCCATCGATCGCGCTCATCGATCCTCCCTCTCTCCACCAACTAGCCAGCATGTCCCAGCCTAACGTTTATGTGAGTTGCTCGCTGTTGATGTGCTCGTCGTCGTTGTCGTTGTCGTCGGCGAAGAAAGGGGAGGAGGCGGAGAAGGCGTCCTTGCCGTCGGCGTTGACAGTGGCGCCGGCGCTGCGTTGTCACCAACCACTCCTAGTCCTAGCGACACTGACGCCCCCTCCCTGCTTAGTTCGACATCGCGATCAACAACCAGCCCGCGGGGCGCATCGTGTTCAAGCTCTACGACGACGTCGTCCCCAAGACGGCGGACAACTTCCGCAAGCTCGCGCAGGGGCTCGACGTGAACGGCGAGCAGTCGAGCAAGGGGCACACGTACGCGGGCTCGGGGTTCCACCGCGTCATCCCGAGCTTTATGCTCCAGGGCGGCGACTTTACGAACCACGATGGGACGGGCGGCGTGTCGATCTATGGCGCGAAGTTTAAGGGTGCGTTCTGCCTTCATCTTGCTTTTTTTGTGCGCTTCGGCGTATTTGCGGGCGGGATTAATGCGTGGTGTGCAGACGAGAACTTCCAGCTCAAGCACACCAAGCCCGGGCTGCTCTCCATGGCGAACGCGGGCCCCAACACCAACGGGTCCCAGTTCTTCATCACCACCGTCGTCACCTCGTGGCTCGACGGCAAGCACGTCGTGTTCGGTACGTCTTTCTCTCCTCCCTTCCTCTCCGTTTCCCTGTCCCTGTCCCTCTCCCTTCCACTTCCTTCCTTGCGCTTCAAGTACTCACCAACCCACAGGCGAAGTCGTCGAGAACTACGACCTCGTCAAGACGATCGAGGGCTACGGCTCGCAGAGCGGGAAGCCGTCCAAGAAGGTCACGATCAGCGGGTCGGGGATCGTCGAGTAGGCGTGCGTGCGTGCGCCCTACTCCCCGCGCGCTGCTTTCCGAGCGAGGGAGTAGCGCGGCGATTGCGCGAGGGAAAGGAAATTAAAGGAGAAGGAGAAGGAGAAGAACTTTAAGAATAAGAAGGAGAACAATAAAACGAAATGTAGTTTGTGTTATATCGTTATCGAGTGGTGTACCTTTCGTGTTCCTGGGTCGGTGTCGTACGACTGTCGTACGTAGCTGAAGTGAAGCCAGCGTGGCGAGGGTGGCGAAGGAAGAACGTTGGCGAGATGAAGAACGTTTGTGCGATTCGTTTTGATCAATTCATGGAATGACAGGTGCACAGCGGCGGTACTCCTTACTTCTTATGGCCCTAGCGAGATCGCGCCCTGCACCGCGCCCACCGGCGGGAACATTCAACGACGTCGACGTCAGCGCCGATCAAGCGCCCGCAGTCGCAACGTTCGCAACGTCAGCGCCTTCGCAACGGTTACGCCGAAGAGGATGTGATCCGTGATCGATTGATCCGTGTTCGTTGATCGATTGATCGCGCTGCCCACCCCGCGCCCGGAGTCCGCCTCTACCTCAGCTTTGGTTAAAGGCCAACTGCTAGTAAGGACTTTGAAGGCAGAGGGAGCGAGTCCCACCCTCTTACTGCATCGGATCCGCTCACCCTGCCGTTGGAAGTTGGCGGGGGTGTCGGCGTCGAGCGCCCAAGTGCCAGACTGGACTGGGCTGGATCTTCGAATGCTAGCGCTGCCAGTGTGCTAGGAATAAATGCAGTGCTAGGAATAAATCCTGCCAGTGGCTGGATGCGAATGTACGACCCACAGACCTGACAAGCTTACGGTGAACAGGCAGCCCCATAGGAAGAGAGACAGAGGCCCGGTAGCGCGTCTACAACTACAACTACAACGCGTCCCACCCACCCAATTCGATTCGATTCGAAGCAGGACTTGCGCAGAGGGGGGATGAGCTCGTTCGACTCGAGCCCGGGCCATATGGGTTCGTTGTTTCGGAACTTTTTGTTCTCAATCTAAGTTGCTGTTGTGTATCGTAACTTGTAATAATCCAGCTCAGTTTGTGACGATCAAGTGCTGCCGTGGAACCTTATTCAAATCCCGAATGTTCGTGTAACCTGCAACCGGACTTGATTAGGTTCGAACGCGAACGGAGAGCCAGGAAGGCCCGGTAGCAGGTGGTCTGCACCTGCACCTGCATCATTTGCTAAGGAAATGTTGATACTGCAGGACACGCTCGTTCGATTCGAGCCCGGGCCATATGTGGCCACGATCTTTTTTTAAAGTCTCTCCCGCGTTGGCTTCATTTTGTCAGTGGATCCGACTTTATCATGATATTGTGGTGCTTGCTCCCTTGCTGCCCGGTCGGATTACCCTGCGGTGGAGGTTTATCTATGGCCAAATGCGGAATTTGTGCAACCAGGCTTGATTAGGTTCAGACGGGAAGTAGGAAGGCCCGGTAGCAGGTGGTCTGCACCTGTATCAAATGTCGTGTAAATAATGTTGGTACTGCAGGACATGCTCGTTCGACTCGAGCCCGGGCCTTACCATGAGTACCAGGATTTTTTTTAACAAGTTTCTCCCGCGCTGGCTTCATTTTTTCCCAGTGGATCCGACTTGTCAT